GGGGTAACCCCTGCCCGAAGGGGAAGACGGTAGGGGTGCAATAACTAACTCGTGGAACCACCTACGCCCAGAGGGCTGGTGGGGTCCGTGGGCCGTCTTGGGAAGCCCTCATCCCATATGTTTTTTTTTGGTTCTGGGAGGGGCCCATGGAGCGGGGCGAGGGCAGCGTAAAATAAGCATCCCCAGGGATAGTTCGCGCGCGCGGCGAATGCCACTTCGCCAGAGGGCGGGGGAGACAGACAGCCACTGCGATGGGTAGGCGTGCGCGCCGATGCCTTCCCAGCTTAAAAGCGCCGTTGGGCCCACATGGCAAAGTAATTGTCAAAGTAAGTGGTCGGGTAGGTCAGCCCGCGTCGAAACGCAGGTCATGCGAGCAGGCAAACGCATCCCAATATCTCAACAACGCGCGCGACTTCGACGAGGGCCTCCGAGAGAGGCGCCCAAAGAGCTGCGGGGAAGTCGCAAGGAAGGGATGGAAGGGACGGGATGAGGGCGAGGACGGCGGACGAAGAAAGCAGACTGAGGATAGGGGAGGGAGACCGTCTTCCATCCATGCCCCATCTTTCTTCTCCTCCCTAGTCTCTGCTTTCTTCCTCACCTCTCCTCGTCCTTCCCATTCCGGGACAACGGCAAGAGAACTCCGATTTGGGGCAACGACGAATCGTGACTACGAGAACGTGGTTTGAATTCCGACCTATGTATCAGAAAGCATGGGCCATCTTATATACTTACTTTGTTAGTTTATGCCGACCCGAGGGTTACTTAACCAGTTATTTGGGCACTTACTTTTCCAAATGAGCCGCAAGTTACTTTTGAGTCACTTTAGGGTTACGTTTATTAGTTCTCTTAGACGCCACTGTTCGCGGGTCAGGCCGAACATGAGGCTATGGGGCTATAGGGCTATCGGGCTTTGGCCAAGACAACCCAGGAAACGCACCGTGCTATAACAGAAAAATAGTTGTTGGTCCAGGTATCGCATCGACCACGCGGTAATTCTATTCCCCACCGCGCGCGCTGCCCATGGCCGCCTGCGCTTTGCAGTCGGTTCGCCACTCGTGGTTTGAACGGGGTGTCTTATTTTATTGCCCCCCCTGGCTCGCTTCTCCGGCGGCGCCCTTTTGCAGTCGGCGCGCGCAGTAAAAAGGGCGCCGGACCATGCTCCTCCTCCTCCTCCTCCTCCTCGCCCCCCTCCTCCTCCCTCCTCCGCCCTCCTCCGTCGTCCTCCTCCGTCCTCCTTCGTCCTCCTCCGTCCTCCTCCCCCCCGTTCCTCCTCTTCCTCCTCCTCCTCCTCTTCCTCCTCCTCCTTTTCCTGTTCTCGAGGGCGGTGCTTCGCCGCCGGTCCCTGCGCAAGGCGTTTCTTTGCGAGTGCATCGTCTTCGGCGCCGCCAGATTCCGGGGCTTTGCCCTCTCTTGGCCCTGACGCGGGGCCCTTCCTTCCGCCTTCCCCCCTTCTGTCAATTAAAGCTGCGCGCGGCCCGCTTAGCTTCGACCGGAAGAGGCGCGCTCTCGACCCGCGGATCAAGCAACAAAAACCTTCTCGAGGGCGTCGCGCCGCCGTTGTCAGCGCCGCCGCCGCCCTGGCCGCCGTCGTCCTTGCGGCCTTCGTCGTCGTCGTCGTCCTCCCCCACCTCCTCATCGCCATCCTTCCACCTCCCCCGTGCTCTCCTCCGGAGGCGGCGCTGGCCTCCGGAGGCGGCGCTGGCGTTGGCGCCGGGTGGGGGCGCCGGCAGTGGCGGGCGGCGGTGGCGCCCGCGCGCGCGCGACGCGCGCGCGCGGGGGCGCGTCGTCGTCGTCGTCGTCGTCGTCGTACGTCGTACGTCGTACGTCGTTCGTCGTTCGTCGTTCGTCGTGCGTCGTCGTCGTCGTCGTCGACGCCGTCGCGCGCCGTGCGTCGTGCGTCGTCGTCCACTGTCGCGCGTCGCCGTCCGCGGCCGTCCGCTGCCATGGTGTCGTCGACGTCGTCGTCGTCCTGGATCGAGGTTCGAGGACAGATTGTCTCGCGCGTTTGCCGATATTTGGGGGCTTGCGGGGGGGTCCTGGGATCTGCGGAGGCCTCTGGAGGCCCACCCTTGGCTCGTTTCTCGAGCTGCGTCCGGCCGCGGCGACGAGGAGGGCCCCCGAGGGCAGACAAAACGAGGCAAGAGGTCTCCAGAGGCACCCCGGGCGTCTCCGGAAGCCTCCGGCGCCAAGCGCGCACAAAAACCTAGATCTTCGATCCCCCAGGAAGGAGGAGGAAGAAGACGAAGAGGAGGAGGAGGAGGAGCAGCAGCAGCAGCAGCAGGAAGAGCAGGAAGAGGAGGAAGAGGATGAGGAGGAGGATCTCTCCTCTCTGGGCCTCAGCTGGTCCTGGCCTGTGAGCTCCTGCCGGTCCTGGACCGCGCCCTTTCCAGGCCGGGAGGCGGGGGCGCGAGGGAGATGACGAGGGGGGGGGGGGGCAGCAACAGCAGGAGGGGGAGGAGCAGGAGGATGGGGGAGGAGGAGGAGGAGGAGGAGGCGCAGGAGCAGAAGGAGGCAGGAGGAGGAGGAGGAGGAGGAGGAGGAGGAGGAAAAGCAGGAACGGCAGCAGGAAAGCGAGGAGGAGCAGGAGGCGAAGGAGGACGAGGAGGAGGACGACGAGGACGAGGAGGAGGAGGAGGAGGAGGAGGAGGAGGAGGGGGGGGAGGAGGAGAGGAGGAGGAGGAGGAGGAGGAGGAGGAGGAGGAGGAGGAGGACGATGAGGAGGGGGAGGAGGAGGAGGAGGAGGAGGAGGAGGAGGAGGAGGAGGAGGAGGGGTAGGAGGAGGGGCAGGAGGGGTAGGAGGAGGCCCTCCCGGGCCTGTCCCGGGGAGCGCTCTGGCCGGAATCCCGAGGCGAGTCCAGCCGCGGCGACGAGGGCGTTCTGGGCGCCGGGAGGCCCAGAGGAGCGTCAAACACCTGCATCCTGCCCCCTCCTGACCTCGGCAGCGGCGCGGCGGCGGCGACGATCGGCGGCGGCGGCGGCGGCGACGGCGGCGGCGGCGGCGGCGGCGACGACGAAGACGGCGCCGGGGTTTTTTCCCGTGGGTGATTTTTCATCCCGGATCCGTTTCTGATGGTCCTGGGGCCCAAAAGCGGCCCCCCGGGGGCCGAACATGGCGAAAACGCGAATCGAATTTCGAACCTCGGGCTCCGACGAAAAATCTACGAAAACATCGATCGGCGGCGGCATCGATCGGCGGCGATCGGCGGCGGCGGCAGCGAAGTCGTCGTCGTCGTCGTCGTCGTCGTCGTCGTCGTCGTCGTCGTCGTCGTCGTCGTCGTCGTCGAGGATCGAGGCTCGAGGACTGACCTTGGCCTCGGCGCGCGGGCCAGCCCAGAGGCCAGCCCAGAGGCCAGCCCAAAACTCACGGTGCCCTTTTTGGTCGGCGGGCCGACCAGAAAAGGGCACCGCAACCGAGAGGGAGGACGGGCCATGACCCCAGGCCCAAAACAGCACCCCCCCAAGGACTCCGAGAGGAAGAGAGGGGGAGGAGGAGGAGGACGAGGAGGACGAGGAGGAGGGGGAGGAGGAGGAGGAGGAGGAGGAGGACGAGGAAGAGGACGAAGAGGAGACGGGGGGAGGGAAGAGGAGGAGGATAGCCCGGACCTCCAACGTCTCGAAAAAACGAGGCTCGAACTTGTTCTTCCGTTTGGGCATCCGGGGGCCGTTTCTGGGCCTGGGGGCCGCCGAAAAACGACCAAGCTGGGGCCGTTGCGACGTCGGAGGTCTGGGGGCGAGGGAAGATGATGATGATGATGATGATGATGATGATGATGATGAGGAGGAGGAGGAGGAGGAGGAGGAGGAGGAGGAGGAGGGATACATGGAGGAGGGGGAGGAGGAGGAGGGGGGGAGGAGGGGGAGGAGGGCGAGGAGGAGGAGGTGGAGGAGGAGGAATAGATGGAGGAGCAAGAGGAGGTGAAGGAGGCGAAATCGGCAACATGATAAAGCACGCACACCGAAAGACCATTTAGCAGAACAGAAGACCACTTAGCAGGAACACGACTTAATTACAAATCCTGTGCGCAGTCGCCACGGGCGGGGTCGCTGCGATCAGCGGCGGCATCGTCACGGAGGCGCGTCGCCCGCATTGGGCGACGCCGGGCGAGCGGGGGCTGCGACGCCCTGGCACAGCCTGCCCCCTGCCTTCACCTTGCGGGGATTCTTCAGCATGGGCAGCGTGATCTCGCAGTCCTCTGGAGTGTCGCCTGCCTTGAGAATCGCTTGGGTCTTGTGAGCCGACCGCGTCATCGCGAGGTTCGGCCGCGCAGATTCACCAGCGAACGGAACGCGCCAAAAAACCTACACAAAATTCCGTAGCCATTTTGGCTCAAGCCGTTGCCTGGGGCCTTCGCCTTCCCTGGGGTCGGGGCTCGAGCAGGTCACAGCGACCCGCACGATCCTCGATCAGAAGCCCTGCCAAGGGTGCTGATCCATTCATCTTGAGCTGGCTGCCCGCTCCTTGTGCGGGCACGACGCGCATTACCCCAGTTGCCCCTGTTCCGCCTGCCATGACACGGAAGACTGCAGGGCGGTCCGCCCGTAGGCAGCGTGACCAGAGCTCCAGTGACGACCAGCGCGGTCACAGTAGTCGAAGTCGCTCAGCAGCCAGTTCATCGACTGCATCCAAGCTCGGAGGGGCAAGATCACCAGCGTGTTCCACCACTCCTCCTTCGGAGGCTCCTGCATGGCTCTCGGACCTTCTACACAGCGTTCGTGACTTTACTTCCGTGGTTGCCCGTTTGGAACAGAGCATGCACCAAGAGATTGCTGATGTCCGTGCCGCTTTGGTCGTTCATGATTCTGACGCTCGTAGCCTCGCGGACAGACTCCACAGGATCGAGCAAATAGACTTCTCTACGACGATTGCAGGTGCAGTGGAGCAAGCGGTGTCTACCAAGTTCGAATCTGTACAGCAGCAGTTGGATGCTCTCAACAAGCCCATACCGCACGCCTCTCCCCACCAGCATCCTACCCAACGAGACGGACCACGCGTTGCAGCGATGGAGCGTGCTCACAGAGTTGTCATTGTCGGCTTCCCGCGCAAGATGATGAAGACATCCCTCGTTCGTGCCGCCGAGCTCTTCATCCGTACTGCGACACCGACGGGAGAGACCCCACCAGTCATTCGCGCCTTCGACATGACGAAAAAGGTCACCCTCGATTTCCTCAGCTCTCAAAAGGCCAGTGACTTCTTGGCCAACCTCGCTCCTCGCCAGCCGCTTCGGACCCCTGACCCCGTTCACCCAGCTCAAGAGATTGAACTTCGTGCGAAACGAGACATGGAGCCAGGCACGCGCTTGCTCTTCCTCGCCATGGGCAAAGTACGTGGCGCGGTCGCAGCCGCGACAAGGTCCATGCTGAAGGAGGTGGGCTCGAACGGGCTAGGCGGTGACATCTTCCTCTTGCGCAAACCTGAGGACCCCGTTCTCGTATGCCACCTTCAGCTTGTGACAGGCTGCCCCAGGAATGAGGTTGCCATTGCCTTCTTCGAGGAGCAGTTTGCGGAGTTCCATGCAGTTCTCCGGCCCCTCGTCGAGGACCTGAAGAAAGGCGTGGAGCACCTGAACGTAGGGGCGCCCTTTGGATGCGGACTCTGGTGAGCCCTTGGCTGCGGGAGCATCGCTATTTGAGACTTCGGATGGAGTCCTTGGCGCCGCGAGCCATCGCTCCAATGCGTCTGCCACGTCAGTTTTGAATTTGGCATCGCAGGGCGCAGTTCCGCCCCCCTTTCCTGCTCCGTCTCCCTCCGACGAATCAGGCGCAGCCTTCCACTGCCCTGAGCGTGTTTGTAATTCTCAGGCCAGGCCCATTCCCTTCACCCCTCCTTTCCCTTTCAAGATATGCACTTGGAATACTCACGCTCTCTTCTCATCAGTTCGATCGCAGAGCATGCTCGCCCCTCGACGGTGTGCGCGTTTCCTCGAGTACGCCAGTCTCTTTGACATTATGTGCGGACAAGAGTGCCGCGGACAGATTGCGGACATTAACGAACTGTCTCGGGAACTTCGTGGGTATAATATTGGGCATTCCCTTATCTCTCACAATCCGAATGCTGGTGGTGCCATTACCTGTCTCTCCCCTCGTCTCCTTCGTGCGTTTCATCATGGTTTTCATCATAATACTGTCGAAGGCCGCATTCTTATGTCCATGCTGTCTGGCCGCTCTGGGTCGCTATGTATCATTAACGTGCACATGCCTCACACGAATGAGCAGATCGGCGCTTATCGCAGAGCTCTTTCTTCTCTTTGCGAGCGCCTTCCTTCTGCAGCCTCTCGCCACGCGATAGTCTTGGGCGACTGGAATTTCGCTCTCTCTGCCGAAGGCCGCCTGCGCGCTGACGGCACTGGATGGGGGAGAGGTGACGAGGCGCACTCTGCATTACTCAGTTCTAAATGTGGGAGGTGGGCGGAGCTTTACCAATCGGAGGATGCCAGGAGAGAGGTCAGGGAAGGCATGATGGTTCACACCGCTCGGCTTGACAAAGTGCACAGTGCGCCCCCTGCCCCGCTGCTCGCAGACCTCACGCTCCGAGGAGAGGTGCTTGGCCGATTCCAACCCAACATGATCTCTGACCACCTTCCAGTTGTCATTACGATGTCTTCTTTCAATCCGCAGGTGGCCCCGCTGCGCATCCCTGGCTGGATCTCCAAACATCCTTCCTTCACTTCCTTACTCAATCGTGCGATGATGGATCTTTCGTTTGAGAACCCTTGGGGTAAGTTGCGGGCCCTGAAATGAAGTGGCGGAGGAGGTTAAAACCCAGATTCGTGCGCGTCCTGCCGACCCCCTCGAAAGCAAGCATCTTCGTGCTCTTCAGGCCTTGCGTGGATGGAGATCAGGGGACACCTTTGCGATTGATGCCGCTATTCGTGCCTACCCTCAACTTCAATATCATTTCCCCTCTGGGCTTACTCACGGCGTCAATGTCGTCTCTCTTTGCCAGCGCGTTCAGAATTTGCATCTCCTCCTTCTGGATGCGGAAGAGCAAGAGCTTCTGCATGCCCAACACCACCTCTCCCCTGAGACTCTGGACAATGCCAAAGCTCGTCTTGGTCGTCGTCGGGACCTGTGGGCCAAGATGCGTCGTCGCACCTTTCTCCAAGGGACTCTCAATGCCAATGGTGAAACCAGTGTCTCGCAAGAGGAGGCTGCCCAGGCTTTGCAGCCTCACTGGCAAGCCATCTTTGCGGAGCCGCAGGAAGATCGTTCGATGTGGCAGGAGCTTTCGCAGTTTATCCCTTCTATTGTGCAGGCACCTGCTCCGCATGCGCTTGCTACTCTTCGGGGGGGAAGGCTGGATGGTGAGCGAGGTGGAATGAAAGATCTTGATACGCAGCAGGGTAGATAGCATGCCGGGGGGGGATGGGATCCCGTACTCTGCCTGGCGCGTGGACTGTGCTACGAATATCCTGCACGAGTGCTATAGTGAGCTTTTCCGCTCGCCCAGTGGGTAGATCCCCGCCGACATGAAATCCAGTCTTCTGGTCTTTCTGCCCAAAAAGATCCTTGGGTCGGAAGTTGGTGAACACGTTTTTCGTCATCCTTCGGTTGCCCGCCCCTTGAGCATGGTGAACACGGATGCTAAGGTGCTTTCCGCTGCGATGGCGAGGGTTCTCACCAGTAAGGTCTCGCTGGGCGGGCTTCCTGGGGCTGCGCAGAAATTCTTTCGTGGGAGGGGCATGCTTGTGAATGTCCTTGAAGCTGAACAGTACCTCCTTCGGGAACATCTTCGTGACCGTTATGCCTCTGGGATGGTTGTCACGGGCTTCGAATCGGCTTTCCCTTCGATTCATATCCCGTGGGTGCTTTTTGTTCTCGTGGGGCTTCCGACGGCCATCATTTCCTTTTTTGGGGCGCTGTATTCTGGCAATCAGGCGGCGGTGACTCTTGGTGGGTCCAAGTTTGGTTCCTTTCCAGTGGGTCGGGGTGTTCAACAAGGCGACCCGAGTTCTATGCTTTTATTTGTCCTGGCCATCGAGCGTGTTCTTAGATGGCTACCCTGGAAGATTCCAGGGCATATCGAGCTGACGCTTGCGTATGCCGATGACCTGTGCTTCGGCCTCCGCTGCCTGTTCGATGGAGTTGGCCCGTTGTTTGACTGTTTGAGCTGCCTGAGAGATGCGATGGGCCTCTCCCTCAACTCCCCGAAGTGCCAGGTTTTCCTTGTCTACTGTAGCCTGCTCGAGCCATTGCTTGACTTGTTTGAAGTGCTTGGCGACCCCTTCCCAACGCTCGAGGTGGCCACGCGTCTTAAGTATTTGGGAATGTGGATTGGGGAGGATGCTCAGGAGGTGGTGTGGAATGAGATCATTGTTAAGCTTAGCAAGCGCACACGTGAGATTCGTGATCTTGGCCTTGGCTTGGCCCAGTCTATTGTTTTATTTCAAGCCTTCTGTGTATCGTTGGTGTATTTTGTTGCCCAGCTCTTCCCTCCCTCCAAATCGTTATGTGACACATGCCGCTCGCGTGTTCGTTTGTTGACTGCGGGACCTAACGACGCTATATCCTATGACATGTGTATCTCTTTGAAGCAGTTTGGCCTCCCTCTTGAATTCCCTCATCTTGAGCAGATTGCGGCAGCCACTCGCGCGATATATATTGCCCACTGCAACGAGCTCGGCCGTCTCAGGAGCGAGTTTACCCATATTTTTACGGATGATGACTGGTGCCCTGCTCGGCGAATTGTTGGCCGTGTCCCGAACTCGTTCCTCACCTCCCTCTACACACATCAGGGCTGGATCCTCGCTCAGAAGTTTGTGGCTAAGTATGATCGGCCTGATGTTCAGAAGCAATACGTACAGAAGCTCGCCCTGATCTACCGTCCCCGCCCTCTTTCTCTCGAACTTATTTATCGGCGTCTCTGCGCCTGGCTTCCTGGAGTCCCTGGACTGGAGGTGGTGCGATTGGTGCCGAAGCTTCGTTCGTTAGCGACCCGTACCAACATGTATCTTCCTCTTGCGGTTCTTCGGCTTCTGCCCCGCTCCCTCTGTACCTCTTCTCGTTTTCATACGGCTCCTCGGGGATGCTTCATGGGTTGTTCCTCTTGCACGGATGATCTGGACGACCTCAAACACTATTGTCGTTGCGAACCCCTTCGTTCTGTCTTTTCTCGTTGGATGGGTATTTGGACGCCGAGCCCCTCTGAGGGCTTGCCCTGGCTCTACTCGTACATCCTTTTTCCGAGAATGGGACCTGACCGCTGTCTTTTGTCTGCTATGCTCTGTGATGCCTTCATAAGTACTCATCATTATTTCCGCCTTCGTCTCCCTGGAACTCCTGAGCAACACTTTGAAGCCCGTCTTCGTGTGCTTGCCCGTCGGCATGCCGCTACGCGCAGAGTCTGGGCCAAGCTTGGTCGCGACTTTTCCAGGCGTACTTAGCTGCTTTCCTGACGCGAGGTGCGGCGCCTGCCTGCCGTTCGCGTTGAACTGTTGGATTGGGCGGGGACCCTCCTCAGTTGCGAGTCGCTCGAGGGAGTGTGCTCATTGCTCCCTGTTCCTGCTGCTGTGGGTGACTGTTCCACCTTGGACGGTTGCCGCGGGCCTGTGGTCGCTTGTCGTCTGCATGTGGTGCCGCATGGGACACCTGGAGCCCCTTGAGCGCCCCTGGCCCTTAAAAAACATACACAACATTCTTGCCACAGCCCATGCCGACCGCGCGTTGCGGCATGAGGTGGGAGCTCGTGCGAGGCCTTGGCAGAAGCTCACCCAAGTCGATCGCCTTCTCTGGAATCTTCTGGTCAGGCGAGCGACTCTTGATGTTCTGCGCCCCCGGGGCCAACACGGCCCCCCCCTGCATCGACGCCCTTCTTCGCAACCGCCGCGAAGGGGTTTGCATGCACCTTCAAGTCGTAGTTGAAGTTCTTCCAGTGGGCACCCTCTCACATAGATCTGCGCTTTCATGCAGTCGATATCCCAGCTCTCGTTCGTCTCGGGGATCATGCTGGGCAGGTCGAGCTCCTCCTGCGGCTTGCTGTTGCTCACTCACCAGAGCTCCTTGATTTTTGCGAACAGCACGGGCTTCGCCTCCAAGCCTGACTGCGCGCCCGTAGCATAGAGGATCACCGTGGCGACGCCCGCTTCCTTCACGACCCACAGGGCGCACTTGCAATCAGGGTCAGGTTTTTTTTTTTCCCCACATGTGTTGTGGGGTTTTGGTTTTCTCTCCCCTGCCGCGGCGCACCCGCGTCTCCTCCTCCCCTCTCTCTCCTTCTTACACAGCGCAGCACAGCACAGCACAGCACAGCACAGCGGGAGCTCCACCAAGGGTCCCAGTGGCGGAACTCCCATGGCGGCCTCGGGCCATCCCGGCGCACCCCTCACACGCTTCGTGGCTCAATAGGGAGGTGCACCAGAGGTCCCAGCAGCGGAACTCGAATGGCGGCCTCGGGCCATTTCGGCGCACCCCTCACGAGGTTCGTGGCCCATAGGGAGCTCCACCGAAGGCCCCAGTAGCAGGGTTCGCACGGCGGCCTCGGGCCATTTCGGCACGCCCCTCACGAGATTCGTGGCCCCATAGGGAGCTCCACCGAAGGCGCCAGTGGCGGGGTTCGCACAGCGGCCTCGGGCCATTT